TGCCCATTGAGCCAGATGCTGTGATGTGGAGGACACTGATATGGGGATGTAAAATCCATGGAGATGCAGAGAGGAGTGAACGTATAGTTCAAGAACTTCTAAAAATGGAGATATCAGAAGCAGGAAGCTATGTTCTTCTAGGAAACGTCTACGCAGAAACAGGAAAATGGAAGGAGAAAGCAAAAACCAGAGAACTAATGGCTCAAAGAAAGCTAACCAAGCCACCTGCTTGGAGTAGGATTGAAATCGAAGGACAGGTTCATGAATTTACAGCAGGAGATTCCAGGCATGAAGAAGCGGAGATAATTTACAGAAAGTTGAATGAGATGGAGGAGAGATTGAGAAGGGAAGGGTATGAACCCAACGTTTCAGAAGTTTTACTTGAAATTGATGATGGCGAGAAAGCTTCTCAGCTGCTCCATCACAGCGAAAAGCTTGCAGTTGCATTTGGGCTTGTGAAAGCAAGCAAAGGAAGTGTGATTAGGATTGTGAAGAATTTGAGGTCCTGTGATGACTGCCATTCTTTCTTGAAACTGGTCTCCAAGGTCTTCCAGAGGGACATTGTGGTAAGAGACAGAGTCCATTTTCATCACTTTAAGGATGGAAACTGTTCTTGTGGTGACCGTTGGTGATGCACGCCATTGTTATGAGGTACATACTTTCATTGAATTAAGCACTTTCAGCAGCTAATGTGTTGTTGCAGGGGAAATGTTAATATCAGAGAGATCTTGTAAAATCATGTACCCACAAACTATAACCAAAAAAGAGTTCAATTTGTTATAAATATGTACATACTCTAATGTCCACACTAATTTTATTTTATTTTATTTTATTTTTCAAACTCTGAAACCAACACCAGACAAAATTTTGAGAATTCTTCAATATGAAAATGTCAAAGAGAGGAAAGAAGAGGGATATAAATATTCTTAAAAGCCCAAGAGCATTATTTAATTTTTAATAGTAGACACCAACTCTTACTGTTTTGTGATTATATATTGAAATATAATAATGGGCATTAAGGCAACACTAAGGAAAAGAACATTAAACTCTTTCCCAGTGAAGCACATACAAAACAATCTTAAAACTTTAACTTCCACAAAAGAACACAAGTGATTCATCAAAGCTTGTTCCTGTACCAAAGCACACCCTTTCCTGCAGCGCCCTCATCCTCCTCAACGTACAAACACTCCTTTGCCTCCCTCCAAATCGCCTTGTAAAACGGGGTATCATCGAACCGGTAGTACTCCCCAAGAACCGGCTTGATTGCCTCGGTCGCCTCCATGGCATGGTAGTGTGGCATGTGGGAGAAGAGGTGGTGCGCGACGTGAGTGTCGGTTATGTTATGGAAGACCTTGTTCAGCACACCATAGTCTCGGTCCACGGTGGCCAACGCGCCCCTCAGCCAATCCCACTCGGACGAGTCGTAGTGCGGCAACGCCGGGTGGGTGTGCTGCAAGTAAGTGATCAAGACAAGGAACGCATTGACGACAAGCAAAGGCACCCCATAGTAGAACACAACCCAACCTACCCCTTTGAGTAGGGCCAAGCGGTAGAGAACGTATGACATGGCAATGATCCCCACATCCGATATGAATATTTGAAGCCTCTCACGGGCATTGAAGATCGGGCCGTACGGGTCATAATGGCACGCGAACCGGTCGTAAGGCCTACACGAGACATTGAATGCCAAGTACAAAGGCCAACCCATGGAGAGAGTGACCATTAAGGTCAAAACCCTCCCTAGGGGGTTGTTCAAGTACTTGTAGAACCTTGAGATTCTGGTCTTCGTCTTTGGGACAAAGACTTCGTCTCGCTCCAGAGACCCCGTGTTGGAGTGGTGGCGGCGATGGCTATACTTCCAAGAGAAGTATGGGACCAGAAGAGCAGAGTGGAGGACCAGACCAACAGTATCATCCAACCACTGGTGATCACTAAAAGCATGGTGCCCACACTCATGGGCTAAAACCCAAACCCCAGTGCCAACAGAACCTTGGAGAACCCAATACGCGGGCCACGCCAGGTAGCGGTAACGGTACGGTAGCAAGTGGATATAAGTGGTGGCAATCTGGTAGAAGAGTGAGACCATGACCAAGTCAAAGAGGACATATGAGAACGACCGGATAACCGACCGCTTGAAGCAATGGGGAGGAATTGCATTCTTGATATCACTCAATGAGAAGTTTGGCTTTGAACAGGGGACTCTGTAGAGGGGATTCTTCTCAGACTCTGGTGAAGAGGACAATGATCTCCCTCTTCCTCCGGCACCCATGGCTCCCTGTAAATGGGAAACAATGAAAAAAAATTTAGCACTTGAGTTTACTATCCAAAGTATATGTGGGGTGAAAAAAATGTACCTCAAGATGATGAAGAAGCTATAGGGGAAGAAGTTTAATCTGTTGGCTGAGAATTGGAGTTTTTGTCACTTGTGAGAATGATGAGCACAAAGATTGAAATACTAATGTATATATAGTGGAGAGTTGAGGAAGATGAAGCATGCAACGCATAGATGTCATCAAAAATTCAAAAGATACACGAAAAGTTTATTTTTTTTTAAATATACATATTTTACATGTGCGTTGGACACTTCAAAAGTTTTTGACAATATACCTGCACCTTTTTTTTTTTGAAAAATAGATCACCAATCACCATAGCCCATGGGTATTGCTTCCTCACTCTTTACTTTGATTATTTTGAGTTAAAGTAAATAAGTTTTAATCATTAATTACACTAAAATTGTACAAATTATAATATAGTAATGCACTGAGATAGAATTATGAAAGTTTTCTACAAGATAAATTTATACTCTCTCTTTCATGAATTTATTGTCACAATCACTATTCTCGGTATCTTATGTTTGTTTATACAATTTCGTTGAGCATTTGATAAAATCAAATATTTGTGACACATCTTGTCTTAAACGGAGTAGTTTTAAGTATGTAATTTGTACTCGGTACTATTTTTATTTTTATACTAATTTGTAATTAAAATAATAAAAAATAGATTTTGCGCGTTCGAAGCGAGACAAAAAATTTGCGGCAAAAGAAGGTATAATGAAATTATTTTTACACTAATATGCAATTCAAATTAGTATAAAAATAGTTACGTGCACTTGAAACTACTAAATGTTTGAATGTTACGTGCGGTTTTGTAAAGGTTGCTAGAGATAATCTATAGATTCGAATATATTGTTTTATACATTCGAATATACATTACTTTGGACTCAATTTATGAAAATCTAAAAGATTTTCTTACAGAAACTATATTCAAGATAAAAACAATTCCTGCTCTACCCCTCAGACACCGCTAGGATGGCAACTCCTTAGACGGTTAGACCACACTAAAGAATTTGTAATATTGTTGAACGAGCGTGTACTCTGCACCACCCAAGTCGTTAACAATGCTGGTGGATTAAAATTTTTATCGAGTCCAATATTATTTGAACAGTAAAAGTAAACCCAGTTCAGTCTTGTCTAAAATATAAGTCATATATTTTATTCAAGACAGAGCCAGAGATATGAAAACGAAGAAGATAACTCAATAAGATATATAAATTTTGACAAGGGCCTAAAGATATATTTGGTGGGACCCATGCATAACTCCCAGTATCTTATTCCTTCCTCATATTATAAGAAGAGCTACGAGAGAAAGTGAGGGAGGCCAATTTCGACAGAGGACAAGCTCTTATTATTATTCTTCTTTCTTCTTCTAATTTGAAGTTTAATAGCTCTATTATTGGCTCTAAGTTTCTACAAGATGTATATGTAAACTCTTCCAAAATTAATAAAAGTTTCTCCCTTTGGCATGTGACCGTCCAAAAGGCTCATGGTTTCCTCCCGATTTAGATTTCCACGGACAAATACTTTCTCTATGCTTTATTTGTTTATTTTCCGGATTTCGTTGTTCAGTGCGATGTTAACCCAGTACCGAGTTCGTCGGGCAGCGCTCCAAAAAAGCTGTTTCCATTAAACGCTTATTAAGACTCTTGTCTTATGCCATTCCCAATGATAGTCCAAACAAAATTTGAAAGAAAGTTTGAAGATTCTCTTCTCTAGACTTTACCATTGGGGTGGATAGATAATGAGGAAAGTCTCAAAATGAGTCTTTGAATTGCCTCTCAAAACTCCCAACTTAATTCATTTGATAAAATTCAGACACGTGTATTCAAAAATAATTATTTTCTGCAAAAAAAAAAATAGTTACAATTATTTTGTAATAAAAAAATCAATGCTCGCAAAATGTAAAAAATGTCGATCATCAATTTTGTCTACTTATATATTTTGCTAAAATTTTGTCTAATATAATTTTATATTGTTATGCTTTTATTTTTTTTGTAATTTTTATTTTATGCAATTTTATATTTTATTTTTCTAAGAAGGAAAACACATTTTTATGTAACTTTATACGGTGTGTTTTATTTTTTTTGGGGAACAAAAATATATGTTACTCATGTATTCTTCAATTTTAATTTATTGTGTTTTTAATTTTATTTTATGCAGTGTATAATTAATGTGTGTTTTCTTGAATGATTTTAATGAAATGTACTAATTTTTTTTATGTGTGTAAATTTTATATAATTTTCTCTATATTATATGTTGTTGACTTTCTTAATGATTAATTAAATTTATAAAAACATTTAATAGAAAAGATTGTGTATAATAATTCTATACTCTACTAGATAACTATACTTGATATAACAGAGAATTGTGACAATTTTTTTAAAAATGGTTCTCAAATACTAAAATACTCTCCTAACAAAATTATTAAGGTCTCGTTTGGTATACAGAATTTAAACCATGAAATTAGAATTGACGACTTCAATTCCAATTTTGGAGTTTGGTGGCACAAAAATCATGTAAATTTAGAATGGATAGTGCAAAAAATGAATTGGAATTTGTGAATTTAATTCTAGGGAATTGAATCTTATGAAATTTCAATTTGAATTCAATTCCAATTCCATTAATTTCATGCACCATATACAAAGTTTGAAAGAATTATCAGCTTAATAAAAATGGATTCCAAATCCATACTATGCTGAATTGCTTGCTGTTCAGTGCCATTCTCGGAGAAGCTAACTCTTCCAAATGGCGGAATCTCATCTTCCTCAAATAGCCATTCTTGGAGCTGGCATCTTCGTCAAAACCCAATACATTCCCCGGTTAGCCGAGATTTCTCACCTTTTCGTCCTCAAAGCCATTTGGAGCCGCAGCGAGGTAATATGAATACCCACACCCCGATTTTTCTCGCACGATTTTAGGGTTTGGATGAAGATTGCGATGCCATGAAAGAGGTTCCTTGTGCAGGAGTCGGCCAGAAGTGCCGTCGAGCTAGCAACGAAGCATTTCCCTAGTGTGGAATGTAAGTGGGGAGATGCTGGTCTTGATGAGATTATCGGTGATGCTTCCATCGTCGGAGTTGCTGTGGTTCTTGCCGGACAAACGCAGGTTTCAACACCAAATTTCGTTTTAGGGTTCATGATTTTTTGGATTATTGATGAAATTATTCATCATTTCAACACCTAATTTCGTTTTACCATTGCTCCATATGTTCTTGCTGAAGGCTAGTGTGATGATTTTAAATCGATATTCGTGTATAGATTGATGAACAAGATTTAACAGCATAGACCTTGTCCGGTCACAACAGCTTGTGTTGCATATTGCTCTTTTATTGATTTTAACTAAATAATGGACTAAATCGCAATGGCATATTGAACTTCATCTACACGCTTCCCTTCCCCGCACAACCCTTCTTGACGTGTTTTGAACCAAACAAAGGTTTATGACTTAGAGACTAGTGGGATGTTGGGCCTAAAGCTTTGCAAAGCAATGAGCCAATGACCATATGCAAAATGTTCACATATTTCTTCAGCATTCTACCTAAAATGGTTTTTTCTGTGAAAAATGATGGAACATTGAGGAAAATTCTTTCAGGTGGAGATGTCATTGAGACTTCTCAAAGGAGGAAAACATGTCCTACAAGGTATCCATGTTCAAATATGATAATGTGGCTTTTCTCTGTAGAAAATCTTAATAACTCATCGGATAATTTGCTTTTGAAGTTTATACACTCATAGTTTTGAAAGGCGAGTGCCTTTCTCGCCTAAGGCGACTCAGGCGTCCAGGCGAGGCGCTGTCTGTGTTTCTCGCTTGATTCGTTTGCTTTTCTTGCCTTTTTTGCCTGAGTTGTTTGCCTTTCTCGCTTGAGTTGTTCGCCTTAGCCACGGGCCTTTTAAAAAATGAGCTGGCATTTTTAATACATTTTTATATACGGAGTATTAAATACTCATTTTTTTGGGAAATATATGTAGTAACTACTCCAATTGTTTTGTTTAACATGTATGACTTGCTTGGGATTGACATTATTAATTGCACTATATATTTTGTGTATGTGTGTGTATGCCCCAAGTTCGCCTTTTGGCTGCCCGCCTCTCGCCTTGCCTTTTGCCTTAAAAAAAGCCCTCTCGCCTGCCTCTCGCCTTTCGCTTTTCAAAACTATGGATACACTGTAGCTCTATGTATAATCGTGATCTCTCTCTCTCTCTCTCTCTCTATGTGTGTGTGTGTGTGTGTGTGTGTATAATACACACATTAATATACAAATATGCATATTGACACACACAGATGCATACGTACTTACATACATTCATCTGCCATTATCTTTCAGATAACTAGGGCATGTATTATGGAAATTATTTATGTGTGTCCATCTTACCATACATAGTTCAAACTAATGGTTCATGTCTTCTCTTCTTTTGCATGCTTTGTGCTACCTGGTTAAATTCTGATTACAAAGAGAAGCCAGCTGCTGCTTGTAAGTGGACCCTTTTTAATTATTTGAGAATATAAAGTCAAAAGAATGTTATCTCAGCATATGTATATACAGAATATGTAATACATATCAATTTACAAAATTGTTAATGTGATGTAATCAATGTAAAAACCCACTTTTTTTTACATTGTAGTTTTAGTTTGAGGTGTCAAATTTTTGATACATTATATATAATGACCGCCCGACACAACAATCACTTCATTTAAGAATAGTGGCAACCTAGGAGGAGCAAAAACTTAGGAACGGGCTCGTGAGTTTATTATGGATTTATAAATTATTTTGCATATGGAGAATGGTGATGCCTCTGCTTCTGATGATGAAACCACTTCCATTAAAATATTTATGAACAAAATCAATGGATTATTTTTTACTTATAGCCCAGCCCACCCTGTGTCAAGCACTAGATCTGCCATTGGGCCTTTATAATATGCAATTTCATACTGTATTTGTTAATTGTTACCATTAGGTATTTGATCATGTCTCTGTTTGTAGGACTCTTTAAGTGAATCAGCCCACCATTTTAGTATGTAGGAATTGTATGATTTGTATCTACTTGTGGTTTATGTTTGACAATTTCATTGTTATTTGTGCTAATATTCTATACATGTATCAGGCATTGCAGAGGCAGAGAAAGCATTAATGCATTATAATTCCATGGCTGCTAGCATGACTCAACAACCAATATGGGCTGTTGCTGAGAATTATCGTTTTGAGCCTGCTTTCACAGAGGTGTCTGTTTCACAAGCACATTGATTATTCCATGTGCTGATTTGCAGTGTGAATAATTTTTTGTTCACTTGCAGAGCAATAAAATGATTGCCGAGATAGGGGATATTGTCAATATTCAGGTTATTGTTGAAGGGTCAATGAATAGCTCAAACCCTTATTTCTCAAGCTCTTGGAGGCGCAACTTCTTTGTGAGTGGCCCTTTCATAAAATATATTTTGGAATTTGTCTAATTGTATGTAGCCATACTTGCCATACCAACTTTAAACTTGGTCTTTATGTTAAATGGAGACATTAGTAACTTCATGCCTATATTGTGTGAAGTTTAAAATCAAATTTTAGCATTCTAATTCTTAAAAGAGAACTATATCTATTCAGACAAACTATATTGTTCTTTTTTTCTCAGGGTGGTTTCATTCTAGACATGGGCGTGCATTTTGTTGCTGGATTAAGAATGGTAGTTCACTTTTTCTTTCTCATGAAGTTTGTCTACCCACATATTTTCTTTCATATTCATAGAGATTCATAACCCAATGAGATATTCTCAAGTTTTACGCCAATAAACCGACTAAGCATTCATTAAAGTCTACAGTCTTATTATCTTTTTGAAAGCCAAAAGAGCATAACATTGCATTAAATCAAATGGGAAACAAAATCAAAATAAAAAATCAGTTGCTTAGAATCATCCAAGTCTGCATTATTATTAATATTACTATTTTAATATTAGCATTATTATTATTAAATCTCTCTCCTCTTCGTAAATCTTACTCACATAATTTTATATTTCTTAATAATCGTGCTCGGTCATTTGTGAAACTTTAGTTTGAGATGAAGGGAGTAATTATTAGATATAAGTTCATATGTACTCCCTCCGTCATAAAATGAACTTTATGCTTTGAATTCACAATGTTTAAGAAAAATGTTGAAAAGTCTATGGTTGGTTTTTTTTAGAATAGAGAAATGTCATGACTCACGAATTCCTTTCTTAAAAAGGAAGTAAGAGAAGAGTAAAGTTTATATTGGGATGGACGAAAAAAGAAAGTGTAAACTCTATTGCAGGAGTGGGGAAGTATTACTTTTGAACAAAAAAATCTGTAATTTTTCATTAATTACTATCCAGGCTAGTATTGTGATTAGGATTTTTTTTACTCGTAATTTATATGTTCAATGCTGCACAGCTTGTTGGATGCGAGGTAGCTTCAGTCTCTTCTCTGACTTCTCATGTAGATATGACATTACCTCCACCTGATAATATTTCAGCATTGTTGTAAGTTCATTTCTTTGTCCATTTTTCTGTATTTGAGCTAGAGGTCTATTGAAAACAGTCCTTTTACTGCCTAATAGGGGTAAGGTCTGCGTACGCACACCCTTCTCATACCCTACTTTTTGCAGATTTTTACTGGGTTTGCTGTTAAGTTTATTCACTTTTAGCAATTTTCTAACAAAATGTATTACTAGCTAACAAAGGAGAATCTCTTTATCTGACCGCAGCCAACTGGAGAATGGATGTTCTGGAGTGTTTGTTATGATTGTTTCGTCAAGATCATCAAAGGCATGCCAAATGATTCTCATTTTTTGTTCAATTATGCTCTAAGGATGACTACACACTGACACACATACACAATACTAAACTTTTGACTTCTCATGCAGATAGTGTGGCGAGTTGTAGGCTTAAATGGAACACTGCAAGTTGAGCGAGGAAATAAAGATGGAAAGCATGGCTACTCGGTAATCCTAACACAAACCATGTTTGTATATCTTGTTTTATAATCTGTAATTTTCATATTTGTTAGTCTAAAAGCAAGGGGGCATTTTTTAAAAGATGCGCGTAACACACGGTAATCCATGGTAGCCTTTATATTTTCTTTCGGGCGGGGTGTATAAGCAAAGATTTTCCCCTTATTTTTATACTTGGCTTTGAGTCCTTCTTAGGCCCTGTTCTTTTGGGTTGGAATTTCAGAGTTGGGTGTTGGAAAAAACTGGAAGGAGTTGAAAAATTTTGAAAGAATTAAAGTGTTAAAAAGTCACTCAATTTAATGATCACCCAAATAAATATGCAAGAAAACTCTAATTTTGGATAAAAAAAGAATTCATCCTTGTGCGTGTTTGAGTGATATGTTATAAATTTGGGTATATAATGTTATTGTATATTCATCATATATAAATGTTTTTTAAGTCATTGTTAGAAGCAACTAGAAGAAGTTGGAAGAAACTAGGAGTTGAAAGTTACTTTTTCCAACCCAAAAGAACAGGACCTTAGTATATTAGAGTACTCCCTCCGTCCATTACTCCCCCTCACCCTTAAATAATCTTTTTTGTTTTGTTTTTTGTCCTTCCCAAAATATTTTCCCTTTCCTTTTTAAGAAAAAATGTGTGCTTGTAATTGTTTCAATCTAAATCGCAACCGCACTTTATTAACAAGTGTCCCATGTCAAAAAAGAAGATTATTCCTAATGGAGGAAGTAAATTACATACAATAAACAAGATTATATAGCTAAACAACTATTGTTTTATTTTTCTTGACTTTGGATCCCGAGTGGGGGTGAAAGACAAATATTAAAAGTAAACATGATGTGCGAACGCGGAAGTTTAGTTTTACTTTGCAACTCACGCTTAGCGTAATATATGACTTTGCACTCTACGTGGAGATCAAATTCAAAGAACATAAAATATCAGTCTTAGTACAAACATAAAGTGCAAATGCCAAATCTCTCCTCTTTTTTCTCTATGTATATTTGTATCATGTAATAATTATGTACTCCCTCCCCCCTCCTGTGCTAAATTTTTGGCACAAGAGTTGGAAGACTAAATTCATACCCAGTTCCCGTATCTGTCTTCAGGTGTCTATATACACCGCCGATGGGCAAAGCAAAAGCTTCTTCTATCCGTTCAGTGGCGTCGCGGAAGAGCTCAAAGCATTTCTGTCGGACATTTCTTTGTCACACCAAAAAGAGGTACGTCTAACTTAGCTTTCAGAAATCTCGGATGCTCGCTTAGGATGTTGTGTGCAAAAAATGTGGTCGGTCCTTGTCTGGGGTTTTTAAAAATAAAAAAAATCGCAACACATTGAGCCGGAATCTCATGAAAACAGACATTTGACCTTTCGAGTAGGGGTAAGATTTGCGGACACACAGCTTTCCGAGACCCTACACTCTTTGTGGGTTTTTACCTTTGGGTTGTTTAATCTCAACCATAGTCACATAAATCGCGGTACGCTTCGGTACGGGTACGCGGTACGGGTACAAAATTCGCTAGATGTAACGAATTCGGTACGAAGGGGGGTAGGTTCATTTCGGTACGAAGTGGTACGAAGCGGTACGGTGTACCATGTATTCGGTTCGGTGTACCAAAAGTCAAAACATAAGTAAACAAAAATAGATAAGATGAGCATAAGTGCATAACATTACAAAATCCAATTGAAAAAGTGAAAAACAAGACATCATCTAAAATATTCTAATCTAGACGCTGCCTTTTTCCTCTCCCATTGTCAAAGCCTTCATCATCAAGGTCTTCCCAAACCATTTCTTCAAGGCGAGCACTTGAACCTTCTATGTATGTATTTTTAGGATTCACGTCCCAGTTTTTGTGAGGGCCTGATTTGTAGGACTCTGAAAAGCGCGACTGAAGTCGAATATTCGAGTGAATAAACACAAGTTTATCGGCTCTCTTGCTATTCAAGCGATTCCTCTTGACATTATGGATATAGGAGTATGTACTCCAGTTTCTCTCTGCAGAAGAGCTACTAATTGGCTGAGACAAAACTTTCTTAGCTATTTCCGCCAATTCAGGAGTCTCTGATCCATATGTTGCCCACCAATCAATTGGATCCATTGTCACGGCATCAGCTTGTGTTGCTGCCCTAGAGTAAATCCCTTTCTTCATATGAAAGGTTGCAAATTGTTCTCTTAATACCTTATC